CGTAGGCGACGCGTGCTCCTCCGCATGTGTCCTCGCATCTACCGCAGATCCAGTGCACGAAGACTTCACCGAAGACGGCGAGAAAGGCACTCAATGCGTGTACCTCCCTGGCGTAGTCCTTTATGCCGATTCACCTTCTGTCCTTGCACGAAAAATGGAAATCGCCAGGAAAACGGCTGACCCTTCAGGCTCCGGATCTGGTACCCCTGCTGTAGGTCTTACGGGTAAGGATGGTGACAATCTCCCTGCGCCTTCCGATCTTCCATTGGATAATGCAACAAATGGTGCAGTCAATGGTGAAGCAAACGTGGTGGATCAGGCTGCTGGAACTCCTGCAGTGGAGGTTGCTGCATAGTCAGTCGTCCACCGCACAATTTTCTCCCTTCTCCTTTTGCCTGTGCGAATTTTTCACACAAAGGTTTCCCACTTCCCACTTTGCAGTTTTCCTCCAGAAGCCCCTCTTTTGATTTCATTGAATTTTTTTGCGTTTCATTTTCGCTTCTTAATCCCTGAAACATCTCATTCCCTTCTCTTATCTTGCTTTCTTCCCCGATGTGTTCATTTTCTCTTTGCTCTTTTCTTTCTTTTACATCGTCTACATATGATTTTGTAAGATCCTGTAACGGTGATGATAGATGGCATTGTTGTATAATGGGGTTTTTCATCATCGTCTGGTTTTGTCGGATTTTTTTTCTTCCACAAGTTCTTGTTGTATTTCATTCATACATTTGACGAAATTAGCGATGCATAGCCTATCATGTTCTGGTTTCCAGTAATAATATTTGTCTTTCATTAATTTCAATTCTTTATTCACTTTCAGGTATTTTTGTCTCTTCTTCTAATCTGGTTTTTCCCCAACATCCCAGAGTTGTTTCTTGGAAATTAACATCTTATTTCCTTTAATTGTGCGTTGAGTTTTCCGTGCAATATTGCAATGAGCATGGACTCGTTCCCTTTATTTATGTTCTCCTTTGATCTGGTATCATGCCTTTACTTCTCAAATCATTTTGGTTTATTTTTTATTCCTTATTACCCACA